TTTGCTCAATTTAAAATTCATGCATTCTACCAAAATTTTCTAACTTGTAATGGCCATAACTCTCTCAATTTTTATCCTTTGAAAGTGATCTTGGACTTTTTGGAAAGCTCAAGATGTCCTCTACAGCCTCTATGTTGATAATTCTTGCGTTTGAAGATTTATCTTTATGTAAGTTACCTTGACAAAAAATGTCTTTTTGTTGACTTTTGAAATGACCTCTAATGTATTGGCTTATATCTCTCAAATTATGTGTTTTATGATTTTGATCTTAGAGATATAAAGTTGTAGAGAATTGAATTCCCTTCAAAATGGGATTTGGTTGGGAAAAAGCTGATGAAGCATGTGAAAGTTATGCTTGGTCAAAGTTCAGTTGACTTCTCCTTAAGAAAACCCTAATTTGGCAAATTTTGACTTTTGATGATTTGAGGGTTTTTCTTGAGGAATTATGGTCAACCTTGAGAAAATTATGGATATGACTTCAAAATGTTGATGTTGACCAAAAATATAGAAGTTTGACTGTATGTTGACAATAGTTGACTTTTTACCCAATATAGTTGATTTTCAGTCATCTAAGCAATTGACTGAGCAAACTTGTGATGCAAGGCTTGAAACTTGACATGAACATTCTTGAAGACCTATGGGGAACCATGAACACCACTTTAGGCCTTAGAAACTCAGTCTTCCTTGAGAAATACCAAACCCTGATTGTGGACCCATTGCTTAGGAGGAGAATTTGTCTGATCAATTCTTGAGCCAACTTGATAAAATGAGAGCCTAATGAGAATGCCTTGAAAAAAAATAAGATGGGAAATTTTGGGGTACAACACTAATATTCCTTAGTGCCTTGCTTTCTTAGAGACATTTGTTGAATTTTTTGTAGGATTCACTCCGACCATAACTGTATCATCATCTGCTTTGGTGGCCTTTCTTTAGCGAGGGGATCGAGGCCCTTTTATTACAAAGAAGCTTGTATTGAGATTATCAGAACGTTATTGTTCAGGATTGGTCTTCTGCTAACACTAGTTTGACGACTTCCCTTAAGAAAGTCCAAGAATACTCCATCACTTTCAACCATAATGTCTTAAGCAACATCTTTCGTTGCAAAAATCATATTGAAGTAATACTCAAAGGGATGCATAATTACCTTGAGAGATTTGATTTCATTCACCATGCCAACTTGAGCATCAACTGCAACAATATTATAGCCACATCCATTGCCAATAGGAAATTTATTGGTTTCAAAAGTCTCAAGGCAATTGGATAAAATTTCCGAGATAAAAATACTTTTTTCTTCCATGCTCATTCCATCATAAGAAGAAAGAGAAACTAAATCCATAACATCAAGCTTTAAATGGTATTTGGAGAAATAATAATACTTTAATTCAACAAGAAGCTCTACAAAATTTTAAAGATATTTTTTATAACAATAACACCATCTAAACCACCTTTCAAACATCTCATCACCTTCCAATGTTAGATGACAGTGACGTATCCCCCCTCATTAATCCGGTCAAAAAAGAGGAAGTCACCATGCCTTAAATTCCATGAAACTTTTAAAGCCCCTGAGCCCGATGGTTTTCAATGCATTTTCTTCAAGCAATATTGGCATATTATTGGTGATGATGTTTTTAATTTGGTCAAAACTGCTTTCTCCACAAGGTTTTTTTATCCATCCATCTCTGAAACATTAATATCGCTCATCCCTAAAGTTGTCACTCCAACAACTTTCAAAGAGTTGAGATGTATAAGATTATATAACGATGTGTACAAGATTATTTCCAAAGTCTTGGTTTACTGTCTTTGACCCCTCCTTGACACTATTATTGGACCCTACCAAAGTAATTTTATACCAAGTAGGGGCACAATTGGCAATTCTATCTTTTTGCAAAAAATTATTCACTACATGCGCATAAAGAAGAAGAAAAAAAAAGGATGCCTTCAATTTGGATCTAGAAAAGGCCTTTGACAACGTTAATTGGGAATTCCTTAAAAGTTTCTTATTAGACTTTGGTTTTCCTCAGCCAACCATTCGGCTTATTATCTCTACCTATTTTATGGAATGTGAATAAAATTCCGACTTTCAAGCCTTTTCATGGTCTTCGAAAAAGAGATATGTTATCTCCTTATCATTTCATTATTTGCAAGGAGAAGTTTTCTATTTCTATCAATGATGTTGTTTGTAGTGGTTCTTCAGGTCTTATCTTCATATCTAAAAATGTACCTTAGTTGTATCATCTTTTATTCGCAGATGACATTCTCCTTTTTGCAAAGGCTAAAAAGTCATAAATTGGAGCTATTGCCACCCTTTTGGATAATTTTAGTCGGCCATTAGGGTTGAAGATTAATATAGCTAAGTCTCATGATTTTTATTCTTCGGGAATTCCTCAGGCTAAAATCAATCAGTTAACTTCAGACTCGAGTATCTAGTGTACCATTTCTCTAGATAAATACCTTGACTTTCCTATTCTTAAAGATAGAGCCAAAAGATCAAACTTTAATTTTTTTCTTGGAAAAAACGCAAACTCGTATGGATTCTTGGAAAAACAAGCTTCTTAATAAACCTTGTAGATTAGCCCTTACTACTTCATTTCTATCGTCTATACCCTTTACTACATGCAAACCACTTGTCTCCCTTAAAATATTTATGACACAATTATCGTATAACTCATAACTTTATTTGGAAAAGAACTACCTCCATGGGTGTTCACTTGGTTGGCTGGAAAAAAATTACCCTTCCTAGGAAGTTTGGTGGCCTAGAGGTTTGATCAACTAGATATCCCAACACAAAAGTATTTTCCTAGTGATATGCCAACTAGAAAATTACCCACCCTAGGAAGTTGGGACATGCTTCAAAATAGTGATAAACTTTGGGTACATCTTATTTCTCAAAAGTATTTTCCCGGTGCCCATTTTATCTCTTTTTCTTCTACAATAGGTTCCTCCACCTGGAACTCTATTATCAAAGCGAAGAATATGCTAAAAGATGGTTTTTCTTAAAAGTTGGGGTCAGGATCCTCACCTTTCTAGTACAGCCACTGGTTTTCTCTTACCCCCTGGCTTCTTTGGTTGACTATGTTCACATACATGACATGCTCTAACTCTCAAAGATTTTTATTACACATAACCTCCCCACATTCAGCACTTGTATACTCATATCCCTCATCACATCACAAACGAGATCACCTCTAAAAAGTATCAAATTCAACCTCAAAACATCATCACATCACAAACGAGATCACCTCTAAAAAGTATCAAATTCAACCTCAAAACAGTAAGCGTCTTCATTTGGTATGATCACATAAATGGGTACTTACACTATTAAGACTGTCTACTCTTGGATCCTCTGTAACAAAGAATATATTCATGATTTTATCAATGCCACTCAATCTTGAAATTTGACATGGAAATTATGCTTTCTAGAAAAGATAAAGTTCCTCCTTTAGTTTGCTTGTCATAAGTATGTTCCCACTCTATTTATTCTTCATCATCGAAACATAGCCCCCTCGACTTTATGCTCTAGATGTGGTCTCTAAGAGTAGACTTTCCTCCACTATGTTCGTAGTGACTATGAATTCTAAAACTTTTGGTTGCACTTTGAGTTTAGCCATCCAAATTTCTTCTTGAACCAAGATGATCACTCTTGGATAAAAAAATGAGATACATGGTACCCAACATAGTCTCTTTGTTGCAAGAATTCGTTGGACTTTGAGAAATCATTTTGAGAAATCATAACGTTTGTATTTCTCATGAAATTATTCCAAGATATATACTATCCATGGCTTCCAACTCTATGGCGAATTCTTTCACCACTTACTTTAGCAAACCTCAAAGTGAGCACACAGGCAACAAATTCATCACTTGGAATTCCCAAAAGTACTCTTGCACTATTATTAATGTAGATGGCGTTGTAATGGCACTCCAACTCGTATTGGCTTTGGTAGTACCTTGCGTACATCTAATGGGACTTGGCAATATGGTTTACCTAGAGTCATTCCAAATTCTTCAGATATCCTCCGTGCAGAACTTTGTTTACCAAGGCGTTTCTCTAGCCAAAGTTATGGGCATTACTGACTCAACTTGCTACTTTGATTATTCCCTCATTATTAGCCTCATTAAAAACCACATGAGTAAGTTCCATAAATATGTGGTGCTGATCCAAAGTATTAGGGATATTATCCTTGAAAACACCATGTTTATAGTCATCCACACTCTCATAGAAGATAACCAAAATGATGATTTCGTGGCAAAGCTCGGAACCTCCGTTGACGTCGATCTACAGATTCACCCATATCCTCCTCAAGGGCTGAGTAATATCCTTGTGGCGGATGCGGCTGGAACATCATTTTTAAGAATTTAGTTTTTCTTTTGCTTCTTTTTCTATTTCTTTAGGCTTGTAACCAAAAAATAATAATTAGTCAATCAGTTATATTCTTAATTTAAACTACTAGATATACAATTCCATCATTTTGTAATACTATATAAATTTTTAATTAAAAAATCAAGTTAATAATTGAAACAATCTCTTTAATAGGAACAATGTTGCACCCTACAAAGGAAGTTTATTTTGAATCATAATCATTTCCAATTATTTTTAGCATTATAGAATGATATCAATTTTTTCAGAACAACATAATGATATCAAGTTGATATTGAAATAATATATTTTTATTGTGAATGTATTTTGAGCTCCAAAATAATAAATTTTAGATTTTTTTATTGGGTTTTCGCTCAGCAATGGAGAGTATGATCAAGGTAGTGATCTGTTTCTCCTTTGCCGAATATTGTGCCTTGCTGATTGATGACATAATGGAGGAATTGAATGAATCAAAGTTTTCAAATTGTAGGAAAGTGTTCTTCCAGCATTCTTACTTTTCCATTATTTTTCTTGCTTGTGTTCTTTCAGGGTTCTCTAGATTTTTCCTCAATGGTTATCTATCTGAAAGACACTGTTATTGTTGTCATCAATAATTCAGCTCAAAAAGAAATCTTTATAGGTGGGAATGTCATTTAATTGTTTACAGCAATCACACTATATCACTTCTCTTCAACAAAACCATATCAACGTTCAAACCAACATACAAATCATAAATTCGAAAGTAATATTCGATCACGGATACATATATAGAGTCACACAAACTTCATACCATATCAAAAGTACATATAAATTTAAAATGAAACACTTACCAGAAAAGACGCAAGGGAAGAAACGAAGATGTCGGAAACACAAACACACGCACAACAACACAACAGCAGCAACGCAACCGGTAACGCAATCGACGGCGCACAACAACAAGACCGCACCGACGCACAGTTCTTCATTTTTAGGTTTTGTTCGTGGTACCCTTCACACACAATGAATTACCTTTTGTTTTTTGTTTTGTTTCTATTTTTTTTCACTCTAGGCTAGAAGATAAGTTAGTGAAATGTGTGTACCATGAGCTTACACTTGGCCCACGTGAATCTTTTATTTTTTTATTTTTTTATATTTTAATTTTATAATATATATTTTTAAGAATAATGTATTAATTTAAAATTGTTCTCATAAATATTTAAGGAGATATTTATTAGATATTGTCAAAGATATATTGTATTAACGCTTGATAATTGTCCCCAAAAGTAGTTTAGAAAACATTTGTGAGGGGTCGCGCGAATTGTCTTGGCAACATACAAAGATCGTTGCCTGAATTTTTTTAGACAACAATTTACACATATTGTCTAAAAAAGTGTTGTCAGAGACCATAAATGTCGTAGTGTCAGATATAGTTTTATTGTTTCAAAATATTGAAGGTGTGGAAGTGTGCCTATTTGGCATATATATTCAAGAATTCTAAGTTGAATGTCAATTTCCTAATAAATGTTGGGTGTATCTTTCATATCTAGACTCTGAAGTATTCTAGATCAGAGGTTAAATCAATATTTTTTTATCATGAAATTATGAGTTTTCTATTTTGACGTATGTTAAGTTATGATTCAGGTTAATTCTGAATTTTGATGTATGTTAAGTTTGTTGAGATATTAGATATAATATCAAATATAATCCAAGTTAGATATGTTGAGATATTAAGTATTATATCAAGTATAATCTAAGTTAGGTATGTTGAGATATTAAATATTATATCAAGTATAATCGTAGTTTCAAGAACTTCACGTCAGAGATCGTGTTTCCAGGGAAAGTGAATCAACCACTGCGAAGATGGCTGGTGATAAGGGCATTATGAGTTCTCTTCCAATGCGTGATGGCAAGAATTAGATCCGATGGAAAAAAACATATGCAATCCTTGTTCGGCTTCCATGATACCCTAATAGTGGTTACCGACGGTGTTCCTGCACTGGCTGCAGATGCAACCAATGCATTGAAAGATGCCCACAACGAAGTCAAGAAGAAAGATTCCAAGGTTGCTTATTACATTCAGACGATGGTCGATGCTGCTAACTTCGACAAAATCTCTCATGCTGAAACAACGAAGAAGGCATGGGATATTCTGGTCAAGTATTATGAAGGAGGTGAGAAAGTCAAGGTTGTCAAGTTGCAGACCTTGCGTCAACAATATGAATGGTTGTCGATGGGAGAAGACAAAAAAGTTGCAGAATATCTGTCGAAGGTTCAGAAACTCGTCCATCTCATGAAGGGTTATGGTGAAACCATAACTGATAAGATGATAGTTTAAAAAGTAATGTGAATATTGACCTCTCACTTTGGTCATGTTATCGTTTCTATTCAAGAATCCAATCAACTTGAAACCCTAAAATTGGAATATTTGGTTGGTTTGTTGGAAGCGCATGAGATTAGGATTATCGAAAGGAAAGGAGTTCAAGACTCGATACAAGCTCTGCAAGTTCAGCCATTGAAAAGTAATGGTGATTCAAACAAATTCAAAGGCAAAATCGACAAGACTCAGGGAAAGAAGTCTTGGTCGAACCCTCACAAGCATCGGGTCGAAGATAGAGCTTCTGAATCCTCGAAAAGAAGATGAGGGAATTATCAAAAGGACAAAGAAGATAAAAAAAGGTGTGCAGTACTATAACTGCGGAAAGTGGGGTCACTTCGTCAATAATTGTTGGTACATGAAAGACAAGGGATCGACATGCAAGGGCGAAGGAGTGAACCTTGCACGCCAAGATTCAGATGATTCTGAAGGTGGTATGGTGGTTATTTCTGCAGTTGCAGATAACCATGTCGAATCCAAGATCTGGTTCCTCGACTCACGCTGCTCGAATCACATGACTAGTCGAAAGGAGTGATTAGTAGATTTCGATGAGTCGAAGAAAAGCAAGGTAAAACTTGTTGATAATAGTTCGTTGCAAGCAGAATGTACTGGTAATATAGTTTCTCAAATGAGTAATGAAGGGAAAGTTATGATCAAAGATGTACTCTATGTACCTGGAATGAAGTGCAACCTGCTAAGTGTTGGACAACTAGTCGAAAAAGGTTTCTCAGTTGTCATAAAAGATGGAGTTTTAAAATTGTTTGACATCGAGAACAAATTGGTTTTGAAATCTCTTATGTCGAAGAACATGATATTTAAAAACTGTTGTCGACCATAAGGATAGTTGGTTGTGGCATTTGAGGTTTGGACATTTGAATTTTCGATCACTTAATCAGCTGATTACTCAAGATATGGTAACTGGTATCCTAAGTCTTGAGATGCCCGACCAACTTTGTGAAGGTTGTTTAGTCGGAAAGCAATCCATAAATTCTTTCATTTCGAATATGCCAATGAAATCAGCCTGCATACTCGAAGTGGTACACTCAGATGTATGTGGTCCATTCGATGAACATATCATTGGTGGAAACAAATATTTTGTTTCATTTGTTGATGAGTACAGTCGAAAGTTGTGGATCCATGTGATCAAGAGAAAGCACGAAGTATTCTAAATCTTTAAGAGATTCAAGATACTTATCGAAAACTAGAGTGAGAAGAAGATCAAAGTTTTGCGAACAAATGAAGGTGGCGAATACACATCCAAGATGTTTGAAGATTTATATGCAGAACAATGGTGTCGATCATGAGGTAATTGCTCTATATACGCCTCAACATAATGGGATTGCAGAAAGAAGAAATAGAATCATATTGGATATGGCGAGATGCATGCTGAAGTAGAAGAATTTGCCAAAATCCTTATGGGGAGAAGCTGTTTCGACTACACTTTATATTATGAACAAGTGTCCTACCAAGAAATTGAAGAACAAGGTTCCTGAAGAAGTATGGAGTGGAAAACGACCATCAATAAGTCATTTGAAGGTGTTTGGCTCTATGTGTTACACGCATGTTCCTGATGCAAGAAGAAATCTTGATGATAAAAGTGAACCTATGATTCTGCTAGGATATCATAAAACTGGTGCATACAGGCTAATCAATCCAATCAATGAGAAGATTGTGTTGAGTCGAGACATTGTGATTGATGAAAATTCTGCCTGGGATTAGAATTCTAATAATGCAATCAATAAGCCAATGATGAGCTATGGTTTCGACGAAGAAACTAATGAAGTCAAAATCTAATAAATTGCAAATATTCTAGTCGAAGCAGTTCTTGACATTCCCGACAATGTCTAAGTCGAAGAGGGTGTGGCTAGCACAAGCCAAAGATCTCAAAGAACTAGAGTTCGTCTAACTAGACTTCAAGACTATGAAGTAACTAGTGATGATGAAGTAACACCAGATGGAGAATTAGTTCATTTTGCTTTACTTGCAGATGTTGAACCAATCAACTATAACGAGGCTTTAAAGATTCAATAGTGGATGTTAGCTATGGTCAAAGAGTTACGAGAAATCGAAAGAAGCAACACATGGGAGTTAGTGGAATTTCCAACATAAACAAAAGTTATCAAAGTAAAGTGGGTGTTCAAGTTGAAACACAATGTTGATGGGTCGATAGCCAGACATAAATCAAGATTAGTAGCTCGAGGGTTTCTTCAACGAGAAGGACTCGACTCTGAAGTATTTACTCCAGTAGCAAGACTGAAGTCTGTTTGATTGGTGGTAGCATTGACATGTAACTGAGGTTGGTCGACATTTCATTTAGATGTGAAATCAGCATTTATGAGTGGTCCTTTATAAGAAGAGGTATATGTCACCCAACCTCATGGGTTTGTGGTTCAGAAGGAAGTGAGTAAAGTATATAAGTTGCATAAAGCTCTATATGGCCTCAAGCAGACATTTAGGGCATGTAAAAAGAAGACTGGCTCATAGTTAGTCGAATTAGGATTTGTCAAATGCAAATCAGAGTATGGTGTCTATGTTCAAGTTGTGGCACAAGATATAACAACCATCTGCTTATATGTCGATGGCTTGCTAGTAATTTGAAATAGCTTAGAGAACTTGTCGAAGTTCAAAAAGCTGATGATGAAGGAATTTGAAATGTCAGATCTGGAAAAATTGTCTTATTTCCTAGGAATGGAATTTCAAATGTCAAAGAAAGGTATGGTGCTATATAAAAGGAAGTATATCAAAGATATACTCAAGAGATTCAAAATGGATGATTCAAATCCTGCATCTTCACCTGTCGAACCAAACTTGAAGTTGGAGAAGCATAAAGATGATGACAAAGTCGATGTAACTTTGTTCAAACAAATTGCGGGATCTCTTAGATATGTGTGCAACAATCGACCTGATATAGGTTTCGCAGTCAAATTAGTGAGCAGATTCATGGGTGAACCAAGAGTGTCACACATGAAGGGTGCAAGAAGAATCATGAGATACTTACAAGGATCGATAAACTATGGAATAGTATTTCGACAAGACTGTTAAAGCAAAGAAGATACAGTTACTTGTTTTTCATATGCTTATTGGTGTAGAGATAAGGAAGATCGACAAAGCACAACTGGATATTTCTTTCAAGTATTCGGTGCCCTAATCTCATGGTGTTCGAAAAAGCAACATGTGATGACATTATCATCATGTGAAGCTAAATATATAGCAGGATATTATGCTGCATGTCAAGAAATTTGGATCAGATATGTACTTGAAGAAATAACTGTCGAACTGAAGAAACCTTTTGTGTTGCAAATAGACAATAAGTCATTCATTAATATGGCGAAGAATCTAGTTTTGCATGGAAGAAGTAGGCATATCGAAGCTAGATTTCACTTCTTGAGGGAAAAGGTAAATCGAGATGAACTTGAAGTTAGGCATTGCTCAAGTGAAACACAGTTGCCCGATATTTTCACCAAAGAATTGAAGATCGACAAATTCCTGAATGTGAGAAAGAAATTAGGAATATTCTATATTGACTATGATTAGCGTAGGTTCGACGACTTTGATTATAGGGGGGTATGTTGAGATATTAGATATAATATCAAATATAATCCAAGTTAGATATGTTGAGATATTAAATATAATATCAAATATAATCTAAG